AAGGGACATTCTGATTTATAGAGAGCGTTTCCTTATCTGAGACAGAGCCTTCTGATTAATTAAGGGGTCCCCGAGCCAGCAACCCATTAACACAAAGTGGGATCTCCTGATCTTCCATTTTTTTTTTCACAGACTTGGTGGTTTTTTATTTGTATTTATCTGACTTTTATCCCTTTTGACTGGCTGCTTATTTGATATATTGTGTTTGACCGCTGCCGTGTTGGTTTCTATCCTTGTCAATGTAATCCTTTTGACTGTCCTTTTACATTCTCGCGTTTTGCTGTTGTTCCTTGCGACTTTTCGACCGCCTATTTCACTTGTCTCTATAACCTTTTGCTGGTCTCGAAGATTAGGATCGAACGTGAGCAAATCGATAAGGTGCGAACATTGAGGGTCCAGCCGTTTATCATTCTGACACATTTTCTTTGACGTTTTCCGCGAAAATAGGCATGACATACTCTAATGGCACAAAGGGCCCACCCCGGCTGCCCTCTCCGTGACTGATGTCACGCATGGCGGCCACTGCCCCCCCCCCCCCCGAAACTTGCCTGGCATGCGGATAATTTTATTTATTCACATAAAGGCTATTCCAGCTGTGCTTAAGCGATGTAGTGCATTATTTCAGACTGCTCTGTGCATTTGCCATTTCTGTTAAGTGTTCTAGACATGATATATCTGTTTATTTGTTGCTGAGTGAGTGACGGCGGGGGCCTGGGCTGTCTCAACATAAACTTATCGGAATATGTGATTTCATCGGCCAGGTCCGGCCAGGCCAGGTCGAGAACACTTCGCAGGCCCCCGCAGGCATGGCAGGTTTTGCATCTCCGTACAACTTTCAGCAATGCACAGTGGCTTTCTTCTCAGTCATGGTTTGATATAAAAAAGAACATTTGCCTTCCCCGTGGTGTCGAATAAGATGTGGGACCAGTAATCTGGTGGCACTGAGTATGACTATTACCGGAGCAGGCGCATTACTTTGCCCGAATGACATGAATAGGTGCGCTGGTAAGTGGCCAAACAGTGTCAGCCTGGTCCGGGCCGGCTCTGTCGTGGCGCTGTGCTGCACATGACGCCCCCTGCTGGCCTGTCCGACAAAAATGCCGGAGACGAAAGTACCTGGTGGACCGGATCGGTGTGACTCCAGTAATATGTTCCAGGTCCTGTTCAATACGTTCTGTTTAGGAGATTGAACCCCAAGTTATGCACACATTTTCTGCGAAACTAGTTTTATAAAAGGTATCTTAGCTATTTACACGCAAGCAAATGAATGACTTGGCACGCAAGCAAATATTATGATAGCACGCCTAAAGGTTACCTTAAATCGAATGTGCCTTTCAATGTCCATTGTGGCACTGCAGACACCTACACATATATGAGGCCATCGGTCCGTAAAGAGTTGAATGTTCCTTGTTACAATCGAGTGGGAAACACCATTCTCCAATTGTGCGTACACTGGTGGATATAATCGAATGCATGCGTACCTACCATTACTACTCACCCACACAGGGCTACAGAGAAGCAATTGGCGTCAATGGCTGTTTTGAACCTATAGTTCCGCCTTTGGGTCACGGTTGGAAGCGACGTCGATGAATTTTAGTTAGGCCGTTGTGTTCTGAATAGAGAATGCCCGTGGGGCATGGGGCTCCCCTGCGTGGCACGGAACATTTGTTGGGACCGTATATACGACCGCCAGCCGCAGGCACTTGAGGCGATTCGTACTAACCATGTCCCACTATACCTATCACGTGACCATGGGTTGAACGCCCTGATGATTAAGCCATCCAGGGAGCTAAAATCACTTTTGGACTAGGGTGGGAGTGAAAAATACCGTCGCAAAAAGACCGTATGGGAGTGAAAAAAATCAATTCACAAAAGATGGAACTTACGAGCTCGTGACTGATGCTTCAGCAAACAAAGACATCTATTTCAAGTTGGCGTGGACGTAATATCAGAAACCTGACAAAACTATTTTGTTTTTTAACATCAAAGGCCATTTAATTGAAACAGAACACCGTAAAGCATATTAATTTCATGACAGTGTAATGAACATAAAAAAATAAAGAACACCAATAATTTGATGCTGCACTTTGCACTTCCCTTCAACAGCACTTTTAACACAACACAAAGCAAAGGAATTCAATAACAAAATAACCACCGAAAATTCAACAAGCATAAAACACTCAAACAAGAAAAAACCTTGGACTCATGCACGTCAGCCCACCACCAAGTCAAACACAATAGACATACCTCTGGTTTCTGTTAAGACGGGGTCAAAAGCAAACATTTTGCCACTGTTTTCTACAAAATGCCAATGCTTATTTCCATAAAAGTAGCCTAACTTTGCCTACCCCAAAGAGACCTCACTCTCCCTGTCTAACCTGTTTGTATCACAGCAGCAATTGTGAGTTACGGATTCTTGCATAATTCCTATTGCCATGCACTTAACCAAGCTAACCTAACTTAGAGTAGCCCATATGTTGAACATCGCCTCAACTCACCTATCTGTTGACAGCAGCACTTGTGATAAAATCATGATAAAGTTGCTTTTTAGCTGATTTCAACTTGCATTTGTATTCAGTTCATTTATATATGCTTGTTTACATCAGACAACGTTGACAACACACGAATCAAAACGTTTTAAATGACTTTGAACAACTAATTTTGATTTTTATGGTTAGCCTATGTCAAGGGTGATAATGGGTACACCCCACAAAACAATCTCTCTTCTCGAAAAGTAACATAACTTTTAGATGACCATGCCAGTATTGCTGCTTGCATTTTCAGCTGCAGCAGAGGGATCTATTTAGGCTTGTTTATTCATATTTAATGACAAAGTTTGAGATGTTGGCTTCACATTTTAAGTGGGATGGTCTGAATATTTGATACATGCTAATATTCAACTCATATTATAATTGCTATGCAGCTTAGAGTATCCCTGTGTTAAAAATAAAGCGCAAATATACAGTACAGTCGTTTGCCAGTCGACAAACCATGACAACTATAGGAAACATCTGGTTAAAGCAGCCATGAGGGACCACTTCAAGAAATTTGGGGCAAATAATCAAGAATGTGGAAGCAAAATAAGCCCATTGCATGCCTTGTGGCATCATAATTTGTCCTATGACAACACTCGATGGATTAAAACAGAAAATAGCTAACTCTGGTTACCAATAATGTGTTGAAAGCAGGTAAGGTAAGCAATTACTTGGTCCACAGGAGACTAACTGGCTTCTTCCTGCTCCCCGAAAACAAAAAGTCAGTACCTTTTGCATGGTCTGCTGGCAGACAGAGTCATCCCACTCAGCCCCCCCCCCCCTCCCACCCCAATTATAAATATCAATCATGCCCACAAACGTACGAGATTAACATGCGAAACAAGTAAAAGGTGTGCATGATAAATATCTCCAGAGGGCAGAATTTCGCCATCAAACACTTCTGTACTAGCTGCGTCAGGTCTGTCCCAAAGCTCTGTATGGCAGGATTAGGAAAGCCTTGTCATGTAGCCCGGTGAGTTAGACACTCGAAAGGCTTAAATTTATCATTATTGAACACTGCCATGAACCAAGAAAATCGTTAACGGAAGGTTTAACAGGGCAAAAAATGCAATAAAAATAAGTTCCATGCTTTAAATTGTCTCCTTCATTCCTTGTGAACTGTTCACTTTTGTGTGCATATCAAACATGTTTTGGGCGGCTGGTGAATTAAGCCAATTTCTGTATAAAATACGTAAAGTTTTGCAGGTGGAGCATCTTGCAGGGAAATTGGTCAACATTTTAAGCAGCAGATGGTACCTCTAAAGGTAATCGAAAAGAAGGGAAGAGTAAAGTGGTATCCCACTCGTATGTTACAAAGAAAACAAAAGTAGTTAAATACATATAAAGACCTTTGATCTTTAATGATATAGAGGTATAAATAAGATATAAAAATATGAAGACCTTGATACGTTCCTGGTAAAATTTTGTTATCAGCTGATTTGACCTAAAATCTGTTCACATGAGCGCTCAAAAAGCGATATTTATCTTGTAAATGTAGTTTAGAAGACATGTATTGGCTTTTTCATTCCTGCATTTCGGGAGTGATGCAATTAAAGGACCAAGTTTCCTCGGGGAAAAAGAAATAGGTGAAGTAAAATGATCTGCCAGGCCTTGCTGTTTTTTTGCACCAGGCTCTCCTTTCGTGGTGTGGTGGTGAGACCAAAAAGGTAGGGGATGCGTGAATACCTTCCATTTGGCACAAAGCTGCCGATTGTGATGCACTTTGTAAGCAAACAAAACTTAATGCGTGCAAGCGGCTGGAGTCGCTGGGGTTCTTGGGCTTGGAGGTACCTGGCGCCCTTGCTCTGTGCATACATAGACAGGATTGAGATGTAGGTGAGGCAGGACAAAGCCATAGGTGTCCAGGTTCTGTGGAGCCTCGTTTATGCTTGGTGGTTTCAAGTGAGCTCGGTTTTGGATGACATGTGAAAAGCTCAAAAAGGGAAATAGGGCTTTGGCATGTGCGATTAGATAATGTCAGGCAGGAGCGAAAAATTCACAAAATATGGGGAAAATGAGTGAAAAATTCCTCCTCATATTATGCAATCTACGGCAGAAGTCGATAGAAGTGTCACTGAAGTGCCACCTGGCGCTAGGATTCAAAACTTACTTTGGACTTGATCACTAAATGCTATGACCATTGGATGTTATGAGTTTGGACGTTGTAAGCTTAGAGGCGATGAATTTCTCCAGTGGGCACGGAATTGGACGCAGTTTGGATGTTTGAATGATGGATGTTACCATTTTGGATGTCATGAACACTTGACCCTGCGGTCTTGGGATGTTTTGACGGCTCCCCGCGAATTCACCTTTTATCAATCACATATCCAGACATACTCTGTCAGGTTCATACTTGTCACAAGTACCCCATGGCTGGGAAACATGATGTCGATGTTTTGGAAACTAATCTCGAACGCAAGTCACTGGACCTACACCGCTGGATCACTTAAGCCTCGGCTTTAACCGATGGATCGAGACCTGCTGTTTTTGTCGACTGACGTGTTAAAAGGTCAGCTGACATCGGACGACATCGACACCGACATAAGGTGAACGATATCGAAAACCCGTGGCGTAGGCGTAGCGGTGTTTGGTCCTAGTTTGGTCGGAACAAGAGCTACCCCATTACTGCGAGAAAAAAAGACTGAAAGCGGAAGGGAAACGTGCCTGGTTAGCTAGAATTTATGTCATCTGGTGGCGTTTTTCGTTTAATTGAACGTCTGTTGCGTAGCGTACACTCTAGCCGGCAGCCAAGCTTTGCGGACAGTTCTGGAAATCTACAGGGCGTGGGGTCAGCTGATGCGGCGCTGAAAAAAAAAATGGTCAATTTACTTTCAGTCGACGCGTCTGCAGATGCCTGCGCACCGCACCGTTATTGAACTGTGGTTGGCGGGGCCGCCTGATAAATTCTGTTCAAAGATATTTCACTTGATTTGCGTTGTGGTCTGCAGCCCAGGAAGCGGCAATCTTGGAAGGGACGGCCGCGAGACAACTTATGCCGACATTTAAAGTGGACGTTCTGGCGTCTTTGTTCTTTTTACGACGCGTGACCCCACTCGTCACGGCAAATGCGCGACGCGTCACAGCGCGACGAGGCCGGGTTTTCCTGGTCGATTACTGTGACGCAGCCACGGCCCCGTGGCGCCGCGTGCCATCTGACGCTGTCTGATCGGTCTCGCAATTATGCATCGAACACCGCTGCCGCCTCTTCGCGATAGCCGCCCCGGGGAGACGGCGTGGGTAGGGTGGGAGGTCGGGTGGGAGGTCGGGTGCGCGCCTCAGCTGGCCGTGTGGGGGGTCGGGTGGGAGGTCGGGTGCGCGCTCATGGCGTGTGGGAGGGGGTGGGAGGTCGGGTGGGAGGTCGGGTGCGCGCCTCAGCTGGCCGTGTGGGAGGTCGGGTGGGAGGTCGGGTGCGCCTCAGCTGGCCGTGTGGGAGGTCGGGTGGGAGGTCGGGTGGGAGGTCGGATGCGCGCCTCAGCTGGCCGTGTGGGAGGTGGGTGCGCGCCTCAGCTGGCCGTGTGGGAGGTCGGTGCGCGCCTCAGCTGGCGTGTGGAGGTCGGGTGCGCGCCTCAGGCGTGTGGGAGGTCGGGTGCGAGCCTCAGCTGGCCGTGTGGGAGGTCGGGTGGCGCCTCTGTGGCCGTGTGGGAGGTCGTGGTGCGCGCCTCAGCTGGCCGTGTGGGAGGTCGGGTGCGCGCGTGTGGGAGGTCGGGTGCGCGCCTCTGCTGGCCGTGTGGGAGGTCGGTGCGCGCCTCTGCTGGCCGTGTGGGAGGTCGGGTGCGCCGCTCAGGGTGTGTGGGAGGGTCGGGTGCGCGCCTCTGCTGGCCGTGTGGAGGTCGGTGCGCGCCTCAGCTGGCCGTGTGGGAGGTCGGGTGCGCGAGCTGGCCGTGTGGGAGGTGGGGTGCGCGCCTCAGCTGGCCGTGTGGGAGGTCGGGTGCGCGCCTCAGCTGGCCGTGTGGGAGGTCGGGTGCGCGCCTCAGCTGCCGTGTGGGAGGTCGGGTGCGCGCCTCAGCTGGCGTGTGGGAGGTCGGGTGCGCGCCTCAGCTGGCCGTGTGGGAGGTCGGGTGCGCGCCTCAGCTGGCTGGCCGGGTGGGAGGGTCGGGTGCGCGCCTCTGCTGGCCGTGTGCCGGAGCTGGCTGGCTGGACCCGCGGCCGCACTCGACCCGCAACGTCTACAGGTGGCGCGTCGCCGTTCGTCAGCCGCAATGGGCAGATAGTGGCGCGCCGGCCGCCGACGGCAGCCCGGCCGACCGCCTGCGGTCGTTATCGGATGCTTAAAACGTGGCGACGGCGCCGGGGACTGGGCGTGCGCCGATTTACTGCGCGCTCAGCGGCGCCGGCGGCGCGCCTGACCGATGGCGGGACGCTGTCCGGCCGCGCCGACCCCTGGCCGCGCGCGGACGTTGGCGGCATTCAGCCCCCACGCTCTCGGTAACTTCTGCCCAGTGCTGGCCGACTCTGGCGCAATTTAGATAATGGCCGATGTGAACTTGGCACCGGCGCGTCCCCATTGCGGACGGTGTCATCGAGCCGCTCGTACTGCTGGCCGGCGTCTTTGATGAATGCGATTGGAAGTCGCAAATGGTGCTTTGTCTGATCATGCATGGTGTGCTAAGGCAGGATGAAACTTGTCAGTCTATTGGCGTGTCATCCTTTGCCGTGGAACTAGACGACAATATGGACCCGCTCCCCGCTGTAGTTTCTTAACCAGTAGCAGTCGTACTTGACATAACGCATGTAAATAAAACCCATTGAATGGGCCCGAAGGAAGTAATAAACTCCTTGACATTGTCATTATTATCAAAGAAAGCGTGCCGTTTGAAATAGTTTAGATAGGCATGCGCCCAAATGTGTCAGACGCCGACACTCCGACGCCACACTCAGGCGATGAGGGCCAGACGAACAACTAGACTCAGGCGATGGAGCACATTTATAGCAACACCGAACGCCAGCAGTTTGCAAGGTGTTTGGGCACGACATTCTGCGAAGTTTTATTTTATCGCCTTATGTGTGACTGAAAACCTAGAACCAATATATGCTGCGTTGGTAACCGCTAAGCACTGACTCGTGCTCAGTGCGTCAACAGTGTGCAGGAATGCTTAGTTAAGAAAGCGCCAAAATGTGCATTACGTTTTGGATCATTGGGTTATTGCAGAGTGGCGCTAAAGCCGGTTAAATTATGAAGTTACCGAAGTTGTCGAATAAGTTGACCAGACCTGTTTTACCGCAGTGTCTACCATGACGTGACGTCCGCCAGGAGTGTGAAGCTACAATGCACGGCTTGAAGTGGGCTGCCGATGGCATTAAGTTGTCTCACAAGCTCGAGCTGAAACCAGGCCCGTGCTGCTGTGAACTAGGCCACGTTCTGTAACCTAAGGGCATTGCCACCGTCTTTTCGTTCGCTCACGAAGCCAGACTAAGGACACATCTGTGCCTGCACCGAGCCGGTGCGTGCGTCTTAAACACCTGCTAGAATGAGCTTTTCTTGCAGCGTGTTGAGTAAATCTGGCCGCTGCGCGGCGTGTAGGGTGCCTTGCGTTCGGCTGCGGCGTGTGTCCTTCGTGACGCGTCCTCCCGGCTGTTTTAGGCGACTTCACCATCGCCGTGTGTCCCGGCATTGGCAACTCAAGCGAGACCGTCTACATCTGGTCGTTCGTCCACTACGCGTGCCTCAATGGATACCGCTGCATCGTGCTCAACCACCTGGGCGCCCTCCGCTCCGTCAAGGTCACGTCACCTCGCATCTTCTGCTACGGTGAGCACCGCCCGACTCACGCAACTCTACCAGTTCCGTTGCATTGCGCAGCAGCACGGCGGGTGGTGCTCGACCAGTTACGTTGTACTCCATGGTATTGAGCGAAGTTGTACTGTATTGATCCATATTGACATCGGATTCCATTCCTGCTTTCCATCTTGTATAATCTCGTTCATTTTCGCCGCATGCAGTTTTGTTAGATTCTTCCAGGCCGTCCCTTGCTGCTTTTTTGCTGGCGTTGGACTGTCATTTGATTGGCAGTGTTAGACTCTGAGCTCATAGAAACATTGAAGCGATATTGTTGGTCGTCACCGTTCCAATATAAGCTTCAAACGCCCGCAGGGATGGACTGCTGCAAAGCATTAATCGCACCTCTCCATCGAGTAATGATAACAGCCCAGCGTGTGTAAACACATGGCTGGTCCAGCGCCGGAGAGCTGTGGCCCCAGCCGCCATTTACCCTGTTTACATGGGCAGCTCTGATTCGAATTGAGCCGCGACCCGTCCTCGATCCGAAATATCCGGCCCATGTAAACACTCACACCCTGTTCCGCTGATTCGAATCGTACGCCGGAGGAAATCTCTTCCCGTGAGAGGGTCATCCGTTCAGGAAGGGATTTCGTTCGAATGATCGATGGTCAGCTGTCAAAAAAAAAACTGGCTGGCGCATGCAGTTCTGTTCCAGGCCATTTCAGCATTGTTTGGTGTTGCCGCCTTCCCACGGGTTTTTAGCTTTTGCTCAAGACGATCCAAGTCCAAGATGGTAACGGAAAAGGGAAAGAAGGTGAAGCTGACACCATGCTGCTAAAAATACTCTATTTGTTGGGGCCTTGTTGTTGGTGGCTACCAGCACAGAAATGCTCACGTAATTTAATCTTGTTAAGCGCTTGATCTATGCAGACGGCAGGCGTCAGCAGTGTTTGGTGTTATCTTTCCGCCTCAAGGTTAGATTAATTTACATCTGGGGCAGTCTCCATGCTTCCAAAAACCATATGGAGGTAACATGATCATTTTGCATAGCTTTGACTTGTTCTCACTTTAATTTTTGGATTGCTCTCGAAATTCTTGCAGAGAATGCCTGCAAGTTTCTTTCATTAAGTGAATACCTCAGGGCGCCAGGGTTGTTTTTGCAGACGTCCCTCCAATTAGGATGTTGGTTGCTTGTCAGTTTAATTTGCGTGAGAAAGGTAACTTAAAAATCCTGCATGATGCGAAGGATCAACAAGTATAGATCATTGCAGTCAGCTCAGAATGTGAAGTATTGTTAATGATAGGAGCACAATTGGCCAATGATGGTTTCAAGACATCAAGAAAGCAAATGTGAGCACTGGGTGGAAATAGCTGTTATCAGTACTCTGCTAAATCTAGGTTTGTTACCACATGTGGAAGACAACAGTGCATAAATGAAGTAACACCTAACACCAAGGCACGTGCTGCTCGGAGGACATGTCTCTGGTGCATATCATTACCTGTTTTTGTACTGGTGAGTAGATATATTACCTTGGTGTTTTTTTTGTGATCAGTGTCTTTGCAAGCCATAGGGTATGTAATTCAACTGCTGTCACAATGAATAAGTTGTTATGAATTTTAGGTAAGATTGCTGTCGTCATGACACAGCTCTCTGGCTGGTTCACATATTATGACCTTAAAACTGTACAAACACAGCTGTTTGTTTCACCTGGCCATCAGTCCATATCAGTCCAGTGCTGTTGACTGCAAGAATATCAAAGTATTTCAACTCTGGTATGTCAAGAAAGCAAATAGCTGCATTCTGACTTGTCAGTCCATGCCAAGGCTGAACGGCAATGCTGCCCTCAGGTACTGATGCTGCACTGGATGGGGAAAGACAACATAATCGCACGATTTTTGCCACTAACTGTATAACATTCAGGAGTCATTTCTGTAGCTTAGCCCATTATTGCAAGCTGCTCACAAATGCATTAGTGTGGGAATAGGTAATATGTTTCTGGGGCTGGGCAAAGTACATGACATGATGCTAGGTGGCCCATCTGATCAGAGTGTGGTAAGTTTGAGAGTACCTTTAGCCAATGCAAGACAATGCTCATTTCCTACTAGCCCTTGCATGCCAGCAAATATTCAGGTGTCCCAGGCTCCAGGTGTATCTGAAATGTCATCCTAAATAATGTTAGAACAGCAAGCCATGATCCACATTGCAGAATGGGAAGCAGTAGCCCTGCTTGCATTGCTTGGAGTTCTTATCATGTATGAATGGTCTTACACATATTACTTTAGCATCATCTCTGCCATTGCCATGAAGCGGCTTATATTTCTATTTACCAGTTCATTTCCTTGTCATTCTTCATTGCATTCCTGTGATCAAAGCAACTGTTTCTAGCATAATTATATGATGGAATATCTGTAAATCAGTTTTTCCCGTTTTGTACAAATTGCTGTGATCGTGCTTCTTGCAATGCACAATGTTCACATGTCATGATTCACTAGTAAAATTGTCACGTAACAGTAACTATGGGGCAGATATGATACTCTGTGGGCAGTGCTGACAGGCTAACCATATGGGCAGTGCCGACCACGCAACTTTTATGTTTCAAGTGCTATGGGTTGTGCCGTGGCTATAAAGCCTATGAGTCCCGCACGGACTGTTTTCTAACGGAGTCCATCCTCCTCCTCGCCCTCAAAGCCGTCTCGCGTCCACCATGGCTCTTGGCATTCGCCATCCATACGCAGAGTACCGACATTTTTTTTTTGTTCAGTTCGCCACGAAAGCGCAGTTTTCGCTCATAAACCGTTCCTTGATTCGTACTAAGCGGGATCGAACTATCGACCGTCAATTCGACGTAAAGTCGGTCTCGCGCATGTAAACACACCTCTGCGAGGTGTTTAACGTCGCATGATCCGTTCCTGCCTTAATTCGAATTACCCTGGGCTGCCCATGTAAACAGGGTAGTTTACCCGGTTTACATGGACAGCCGGGGGTAATTCGAATTAAGATCGGTACGGATCATGCGACGTTAAACCTCAGGCCGATGTGCGTTTACATGGCCGAAACCAGCTTTGCGTCGGATTAACGGTCGATAGCTCGATCCCGCTGAGTTCGAATCAAGGAACGAATTATGCGCAAAAACTGCGCTTTTAAGGCGAACTGAGAAAAAAATGCCGGTACTCTGCGTATGGATGGCAAATGTCACGAGCCACGGTGGACGCGAGACGGCTTTGAGGGCGAAGAGGAAGATGGACTCCGTTGGAAAAACGATCTATACGGGACTCAGGCTTTATAACCACAGCACAAGCCATAGCACCTGAAACACAAAAGTTGCGTAGTTAGCACTGCCAAATCTGTTCCATAGGTAGTGTTATATGAAAATTTGTGCTAGCGGCCTTAGGCATGTGAACATTGTACATTGCAAGGAGCACAGTTATATAAATTGGCACAAAACAGGAAAAAATGATTTATAGATATTCCAGCATAATTTCTGCTTGAAACAGTTTCTTCGATCACAGGTATTCAATCAAGAATGACAAGGAAGTGAACTGGTAAATACAACTATAAGCTACTTCATGGCAATGACAGGGATGATGTTAAAGTAGCATGTGTTAGACCATCCATACATGACAATAGCTCCAAAAAGTGCAAGCAAGGCTACTGCTTCCGATTCTGCAATGTAGATCATGGCTTGCTGTTCTTATTTATTTAGGTTTATATTTATTATTGTTATTGTCTTATTATGACATTATTTAGGATGACATTTCAGATACATCTGGAGCCCGTGACACCTGAATATTTGCTACCATGCAATGGCTAGCAGGAAATCAGTATTTGCTTCTATTGGCCAATGGCACTCACAAACTAACCACACTCTGATCAGATGGGCCACCCCATATCATGTCTTGTACTTTGCGCAGCCCAGGTAACACATTACCTCCTCCCACAGTAATGTATTTATGAGCAGCTTGCAACAGTGAGCTAAGCTACAGATATGACTCATGAATGGTACACAGTTAGTGGCAAAAAACCGTGCAATTATGTTGTCTTTCCCCTTCCAATTCTGCATCGGTACCTGACGGCAGCATTGCCATTCAGACTTGGCATGGACTGTCAAGTCAGAATGCAGCTGTTTGCTTTCTTGACATACCAGGGTTGAAATACTGCTTTGATATCCCTGCAGTCAACAGTATTGGGCTGATATGAACTGATGACTAGGTGACACAAACAGCTGTGTTTGCACAGCCCAAGGATCATAACGTGTAAACCAGCCGAGAGCTGTGTCATGACGAAAGCAATCTTGGCTCGAATTCATAACAAATTATTCATTATAACAACAGTTGAATTACCTACCTCATGGCTTGCAAAGACACCCATCACAAAAAACACCAAGGTAACCTATTTACTCACCAGTACAAACACAGGAAATGATATGCACCACAGACATCTTCTCTGTGCAGCATGTGCCATCAGGTTAGGTATTGATTTATGCACTGTTTTCTTCCACATGAAATACACAAACCTAGATTTAGCTGAGTACTGATGACAGCTATTTTCATCGAGTGTTCACCTTTGCTTTCTGGATGTTTTAAAACCATCCTTGGGCAATTTTGGTCCTATAATTAAAAAAGTTCACATTCCGAGCTGACTGCAATGATCTATTGTCCATATTTATTAATCCTTTGTATCATGCAGGAATTATTGAGTTATCTATCTCACGCACATTAAACTGACAAGCAACCAACGACCTAATTGTATCAAAAGCAAATATTCCAGCCCCTGCTTCCCTGCCAGTTGGTCTACCAGTATGATGTAGCTTCATATTTCCTTGAGGAACCACTCATCAGTGTTGGGCACATCCCTCCAGTCAATAGGTTGCCAAGCCAAATGTTGAAGTCGGAGGAGGAACATCTGCAAAATCAATCCTGGGGCCTTTGTGTAGTCACTTAATGAAAGAAACTATTGGTAGTTCTCTGTGAGAATTGTTGAACAGTTGAATTACCTACCTCATGACTTTCAAAGACACCCATCACAAAAA